TCTCTGCAGGATTTTTTCTCAAGTGGGTGCAAATTCTCATCTTCACAATTCAGATCAAAATTGGTCAAAATATGCCAATCTTCATGATTTTCTTTTTCTCTAGTGGATGCAAATGGATTTTCAGGTGGGTGCAAGCATGTTTTTAATGCTGGGGAGATCACTAATAGGATGAAGTTTTTTCAGTAGTCTTGACAATGAGCTTAATGAAGATGAAATGTCAATTTGAATCATTTATAATGAACTTTGCAAATGAAACTCGTGAATTCTGCAAGTATAATTTTGGAAGGTAGCATTAGTGGATTCATCCCCCAGGGTTTCACTCTAATATACTTCTTAATACCTATGTGCCGCCCCAAAGACCCCCATTTTGAGCATTTTTTCCATGTCAATTTCCTCTAAGATTGGAGGTTTCCATGTTTAATTCTTCTGAGACTAATAAATGACTAAAAAATCAACTTTTCTAGTAATTTGTTCCAGGCCCCAGCAACTGATTTAACAAATTTAATATATTTTTTTTGTAGAAAATCTGAATTTTGACTTACCAGTAAAAAGGGTACTTTCTTGGATAATTTTCCATGTGTTTTTCCTCTCAGATTGAACAAGTTCCATATTTTATGCTCAAAGCCAAAATTGACCGTGCTGCACATACCTACCCAAATTATTTGGAGTGACCCCCCCCCTCCCCGGGATTCATCCAAGATAAATGTCAATAAATGAGGTGGATTATGCCTAGCTCATTAGACAAACTTCCAAATCATCAAGTGGATATTTAGACGAGCCTGTCAATGTGTTGTTTATGATTGTAATTCAAAAATTGGGGCCTCTTCACAAAACTTCAAATTGACCAAAAAACATTTCATGAACTAGCTTATTGCTACTATCTTCGAAAACCTACATATAAGCATCATTCTTTTTCAAAAAAGTATTTATATAATATCTATAGTTTTAGAAACACTAACACAAGAGGCAAAATTGATCACACTATTTTTTGTCCATCTTTCAAAGTCACACATTCATTAATTCATGTTCAAAATCTTATATTACATGACAATGTACATATTCAGTGATCTCACCAGCATTAGGGCAACTGTGCATAGCACCCAGTTGAAAATCTGAAGATTACATGCCCCCCTTCCCCCCATTGGAAATCTCTGCATCCTGCCAAAAGGGTGAAATATTGAGTTTTTTTACCAAAAACAGATAGAATGAGGATTCAGCATCTAGTTGAGAAAATATGCTTGGTAGATCCCTTATAACTGTATGTATTTTTATCGTACCTAACAAAAGGTACGATATTGTAGTCAGCTTGGCGGGTGGGCAGGCGGCCGGCGTCTCACTTTTCAGCTTGTCTACAGGTTTCCAGCCAAACCATTTGAGGGATTCATCTGAAATTTTCAGGGATGTTTCTACATATCAACGTCAAGAACAGATTAGTTTTTGGGCATTCTTGGTAAATCTTAAGGTGGCCATTTTGGATTTTCCGTCCTAAAATCTTCACTATCAAGACTTGTCTACAGGTTTCCAGCCAAACCATTTGAGGGATTCATCTGAAATTTTCAGGGATATTTCTACATTTTAACGTCAAGAACTGATTAGTTTTTGAGCATTCTGGGTAAATCTTAAGGTGGCCATTTTGGATTTTCCGTCCTAAAATCTTCACTTTCAAGACTTGTCTACAGGTTTCCAGCCAAACCATTTGAGGGATTCATCTGAAATTTTCAGGGATGTTTCTACATATCAACGTCAAGAACTGATTAGTTTTTGGGCATTCTGGGTAAATTTTAAGGTGGCCATTCTGGATTTTCCGTCCTAAAATCTTCACTTTCAAGACTTGTCTACAGGTTTTCAGCCAAACCATTTGAGGGATTCATCTGAAATTTTCAGGGATGTTTCTACATATCAACGTCAAGAACTGATTAGTTTTTGGACATTCTTGGTAAATTTTAAGGTGGCCATTTTGGATTTTCCATCCTAAAATCTTTACTTTCAAGACTTGTCTACAGGTTTCCAGCCAAACCTTTTGAGGGATTCATCTGAAATTTTCAGGGATGTTTCTACATATCGACGTCAAGAACTGATTAGTTTTTGGGCATTCTGGTTAAATTTTAAGGTGGCCATTTTGGATTTTCTGTCCTAAAATCTTCACTTTTAAGACTTGTCTACAGATTTTCAGCCAAACCATATGAGGGATTCATCTGAAATTTTCAGGGATGTTTCTACATATCAACGTCAAGAACTGATTGGTTTTTGGGCATTCTGGGTAAATTTTAAGGTGGCCATTTTGGATTTTCCGTCCTAAAATCTTCACTTTCAAGACTTGTCTACAGGTTTCCAACCAAACCGTTCAAATGTTACAGTGATAAGTTCTAGAGCTGATTAACTTTTCTGCGGCCATCTTGCTTTCTTGGTCAACAAGACCACAATGCTGTGTTTTAGGTACGATATTGTTCACATCTGTGCCATGTTATTATTGTATATTTATTATTCAATCACTCCCTGGTTATAAAAACAAGGGCAGTTTGTGCCCTTTATTTTGTATTAATATCTCAAAAATAGGAAAATACATTTTTTACATTAGAGAATCAAGAATTAGGAAGTTAATATTTTGTGATTAATTTAGAAAGTGGAAAATTCAGTGATATTTGTATACTGACATTATGAAAGTGCTAAGTTACCTTCCTAATATCCCAATATTATAATATTGTAATTTCCCCAATGGCACACTCCAACATAAAAAATCATTTTATTAGAAAAAAACTACTTTAATGGTCCTCTACTTCTGTACAAATGTGTGATCTCTGAAAATAAAATGGCACAATTGCATGGGGTTAGCAATTTTGTACAAATTGCAACTTTATAGGCTAATTTTTATCCTTCGGGGACTGATTAATAATGGCGCTACTGTTTCCATTATGCGATGGAAACAACTAATTGATATCCTCCTAACAGAAGAAATGTCATCATGTAATGTAATGGTACATGCTTTAATTTGGCATAGAGGGGTTAAGGCAGAGAAATTAGTGTCCATCGCAGGTCACACTATGTCGTCCTAACTCTATATGTTGCATATTAAAGGGGAAAAGCATCAAGTGTACCCGTTATGATACACCAACTGTAAGGTTAAATTAGCATAGGCTACTTGTGTAACGATCTGTCCTCTAACATATTATAATTTTCTGATAATCTTATTTAATAGAGAATTTAAGACAGTTTGGAAAAACTGTTTGTTGCATTATTACTTTAGATATTAGTTTCAGTCATACAATATCAGTTTCATCCATTCTAATGCAGTATTGTAAAAGGGAAACCAAATTGTTATATGGAGGGTATTTTGACATTTTGTAGGATATTTAGATGACAGTATGTATATATTAATTATAAGATTGATCAAACATAGGGAAGATATGTTTGCTTTATATGCACCCTTATGTTTTTAAATCTTTTTTTTGGTGGCCAGTCTACCATATCTCAATAATTCTCTCCAATTGATACCTATTGCAATTCTGTCTAATTGATAATTAATGAGTAATCTAACCTTTGACACCCTACCAAGTTTTCCATTCCCGCAGAGTAAAGACACAATTTTTCCTTAGAGGACAGGTTTGCAAAATCTTGCTATTCAACCAATATTCTTGGAATTTTTGAAGAATTTACAAATTGTATGAAAGTATGATGAATAATAGCCATTCATCTACACTGTATATTTTATGGTTTCAGCAGTTCTATTTCTGGTAGGAATTAACCCCAATTTACATGTATTTCAGTTTGCTTTTCTGTTGTTTTATTCATTAAGATGACAGTATTTTTAGAGCTGAATGAATGACTTTCCCAATATTTTTGTCTCATTTTTTATTATCTGAAACTGCAGAGAAATTGTTTACAATTCACACAACATTTTCACCTGGAGAATTCATCATTTTTTCTTCAAAGAAAAACTGGGAGTGTTTTACCTGTAACATGATATATTTTTTCCTTATTGAAAATACTTTTGAAATAATATCCAATATATGTAACTGGTCATAGTGATCTCTAATTATACAAAAAGAGGTCTCTTACTCAAGACTTACGTATCTTACTCATCCAATGAAAACAAAGAATTTTACTTATTGGCTGAATCTTAAAACTTATTTTTAAACATCACCAGTTCACGATATTAACATTCACATGTTGGCTTGTCATAAAACATTGATGGATCACCTCAGAAACTGCGATATATAGTATAAGAGTCTGATTTTTTAGATTGAGGGAATAAATTTAGAAAGGATTTTTTCAAAAGTACATATAGTAATGGGAGCCTTGGTATCAGTTAAAATAAAGCAAAACAAAGGTAAAATAAAATTATAATTCACAGTGTGATGTGTTATGAAGAACGATGCTTCTTTTATTTTGTAACCACCACAATTGGTGACATTGTTATTGTGGATGGTGTTTGGCATCCAACATTTGACGATTGGAGTAACTATAGGGGGCAGCATCGTCTCTCTTTTTTGTCTAATCATTTCTTGGTAAACTGCTAGACAGATTGATTTAAAATATTCAAGGATCATTCTTGGTATGAAAACCTAGTACTGATTATTAGTTCTTGAATGCTGGGTTTTTAAGACAGCCCATTTCTGAACTACGGTAAATACATTAGTAACCTGGCATTGCTATTAACCTTACTTCAAAAATGTCCATCTTTGAAACTGGGCAGCAGGTTGTTATTGTATTATAATGCTAATATACAACCTGTAGGTTGATTTTGTAATTATTTTGGTACAGTAATATCTGTTGAATTCAAACACTACTGGGACCAACCAGAAGTATTCAGATTGGCACAGGAGTTGTTCACATTCAAAACTTTTTTTTTATTTATGCGAGTCAGAGATAGAGAAAAATTTGGACTGAAAAGAGTTAAGATTGCAAGGTGTTCAAATTAGAGAGGTGTTCAGATATATTGTTTCACTGTAGTTGTTGGAATTATTATGCCTAACTTTTGAAAGTTATCTTTATACTTTCAGATAACATAGAATTGGATAGAGGTGGAGATGTTAATGCAAAACCTGTAAATGGTGATGTAGAAAATGGTGCCACACCAAAGGAAGATGATGGCATGGATGATGGTGAGCATATTGATTAGTTATGAATTATTGAAAGACCTAGCCATTCTGAACTTGTCATATCTAAAAATAGGAAAATTGCAACTGGGCTAATTCACATGAGTGTCGTATGCTTGTACATACAGGTTAAAAAGTGCTACTCAATGTTGATGCATTCAGTTTTATACTTCCCATAAAATATAGACCGAAGAGCAGGGGTAATATCGTTGGATACACCCACAGGGCTACTACGGCCCGCTGTTATGACATCACATTTTACTCATATTACCAGGGGCATTGTTCGCGAATATACCCCAGGTGAAATGTTGACTTTGTTCACAGTTTATAGAAGGCGTGAATACAGTCATGTTTGAAAAATACCTGACTTTTAATATATATCTTTTGATTTTCTGTCTTTTAGATGAAAGTAGGGCAGAAGCAACATTCCATTATGTCGTGAAAAACATCAGTAAGATGCAGAAAGATACTGACCTGAGTCCCCCACATTATATCAGAAACTTGCCATGGTAGGTCTGCGTATGTATGATTTAAGTTTCTCATATGGGCTTTTCAGGTTGTTCATACTTTAAATTAATTAATTTTCATCTTTTGAGCCCAGTGATTCATGCCTTTTTCATTATCAATCTTAAGGGAATTTATTGTTTGAATTATCTATTCTCAACTGCATGACTTCAAAAACAATTATATTTTTTCAGGAAAATAATGGCGATGCCTCGGTATAGCCCTCAACATTCATCTGATAAACACAGTCAGAAAAGTCTAGGCTTTTTCCTACAGTGCAATGCTGAGTCCGACTCATCGTAAGTGATCCCATAAAATGTGCAAATACATTCTGGTTTATCAAGCCATCTCTTAGCTATACTCATGGGTTTCACTAGAATTTCTCACAACGGGCTAAATAAATGAAAACAACTGGCAAAATTAATGGAAATCATAAATTTAACATGGAAAAGTTGAAAAGTCCCTAAAACAAACAACAGGCGATTTTGTGAAAACAACTGGTGAAAATCGCCTGTTGCCTGCTGCCTGCCCTGTATACTGGTATATGAAATGAAGAATGATTACATTTGATTTGAACTCCGGTGAGGGGCTTATTTTAAAGATTGCATTCTCCAAGTAATATAGTTTTACTAAAATTACAAGGTGACACTCACTATTTTTGGATTAACATTGTTTTGGAATCTTCTTGAATTTACATGTTAAGAGAATCTAAGAAATCCCCTGTATGTTACATTATTACATGTTATTCATATGTCAATTTTTAAAGTGGGTGGTGATACCTACCTTCTTGAAACATACTGAATCAGCTAAAGGGGTTGAAGAAATTGCAAGTAATGTGAATAATAAGAATAATGAATAATAATGTAATAAGAAAAGTGTCTGCTCAGGAAATGCCTCGGGTTTATAATATCCTGTATCCTTTCATAATACTTTAGGATATGGTTACATAAGGTAGCTTTGTGCCTGTGCAGAAACTTCTTGCAAAAATGCATTGTAGAAAATTAAACTAACATAATATTGTATAGTACTTAAAAACATTTTCAATTTGAAGACTTAAGACCAAAGGTGTTTTAGGAGGTGTTCTACTCAAAGGGTTATTTAAAATGGAGTTATCACATATCATTACATAATAAAGATATATTTTTTGCCAGATCCTGGTCATGTCACGCCCTAGCCGAGTTACGAATTCTCAACTTCAGGACCGACACGGAACCTTTCAGTAGGAGTAAGTTGCAATCTGTGTTCTTTTTAAAGTTTATATTTAGTACCATAAATGAAAATTTCTCTTCATTAATTTATGGCCTGTAAACTCTGGAAATGACTTTTGCCTGACATAATCTCTAAATCTATCTCTTATTGTTTGTCAACAGCCTACAGAAAACTGTGTCCCAGGGGTCAAATAATTGACTTTGTCTTAATTATTCGAGTCGTAAATAATTTTGTTTTTTCTCCATTTTTAGAGATCCAGCATTTATTCTATAGCAAAGAAAATGACTGGGGATTTAGTCATTTTATTATGTGGTCTGTGAGTATTTTTAACATTTAAATGTAGAAGGTGCTCTGCCTACCCGAAAAATTTAGTTGCCATAGTAACCATTATTATTTGTACCAATCAAATTAGAGATGTTATTATTTAGTTTTTTTCCTGGTATGTGTGTGGAAATTTCTATCATTTTCTCTGTCTGTTGCCAAAGACTTTAATTGTTTGTCGAATTTGGTCTCCTCACAAAAATCATGTTCATATATTGACCTATAAATGATAGAATCATAGTCTTCATACTTGAAGTTTTCTATTCTTGCAGGATCTGCTTGACCCTGATAAAGGATATTACAATGCCAAAGAGGACAGTGTTACATTAGAAGTACATGTAGTTGCTGATGCGCCACATGGTGTCAGCTGGGACTCTAAGAAACACACAGGATTTGTTGGACTCAAAAACCAGGGTGCTACATGCTATATGAACTCTCTCTTGCAAACTTTATACTTCACCAACCAATTGAGAAAGGTAAGTGCATTTTATTTCACCTTATTTTACAACATATTGTTATATTTTGTGGATGATGTTTGGTAGTCAGTGTCTGTATCAAATGGCAGGTGTTGACATTTTTCATCTTGATGCCTTGTATGATTTTGTGCATGCAGTTTTATTCTAAAGCTCACCCTAACATGCACAAATCACACAAGATTGCATCAAATTGTATAATAGGCAAAATTTTTATTTGATTAGTATGGAATGTGCCATATATATTATATGTCTGAAATTTTAAGTCATGCTGAAACATCTGCATTCATTAAATTACATTCATGCATACAACTGTCATTCGTATTAGAGTTAATATGACATATGCCATTTAAGACCTTTTACATTATTGCATTTAATTGAGAAGTTGAACTAACTTAAATTGCATTTATAATTGCAGTCAGATTTATCACCAATACCAAATAAAATTAAACAATGTTTTCTGTTTTGTCACAGGCTGTTTATCTAATGCCAACAGAAAGTGACGACTCATCAAAAAGTGTTCCACTTGCATTACAAAGAGTCTACTATGAATTACAATTTATGGATAAGGCTGTGGGAACCAAGAAACTCACAAAATCATTTGGGTTAGTGTTTCTCAGATGTTTCACTTTGCATATCGCTATCACTCACTGGTAGGATGCTACATGGATATTTACTTTTTTGTTATGAATAAAATGACATATTTGAACTATATACTGGTAAAATAATTCAAGGTATGTTTGAATGCATTAGAGTTTGACTGAAGGTAATATATTCAGGTACATGTGGTCACATAATCTGAAAGAGCAGGAGTCAATTTGATAAACAAGAATCTGAACTGCTTTTTGTCTTTCTAAAAAATGTGCCGAGTATACATTAATAAACCACTTGAATTGTGATCACGCACACAATCATATTTCTTTTTAACTACTTACTGTAAGTTCAACTATATTGCCATCATGGTGAATCTAATTAGTAAGTACTACAAGTTTGTTTTGTTTATTTTCAGTTGGGAGACTCTAGACTCGTTTATGCAGCATGATGTCCAAGAACTATGCAGGGTGGTATGTGTCTTCATTACCCTCATGATTTCTTCTAATGTAGAGTAAAGAAGAAAATTAACTGGTTGATCAAAAGCATAAGGGGCAACATTTTGGAAAATGAAAAATAAATTCCAGTAAATTATACGAACCGTATGTACTTTGATCCATTGTCAACATGTAAATCAAATAGACTATGGCTGTATAGTCAGTTGTACAATACTGAGATTTTTATTTGAATTAATGACAGCAGGCAAAAGGAATGAAAATATCACATTTTGGGATATTATAACTTTATCAGGGAAACAACTGCATAATTCCTAAAAACAGAATTAAAGAACTTTGTCTGCTTGTCACTGCTAATGAAGAGCACCTTAGGATGAATGTTACTCAGTGCTTGAGTTTAATGCCAGACAATTTTCTCATATAAATGAATAAAAGGGAGGGGTCAACTCTGTTAAGTTGGAATGTAGCCCTTAATTTCTATATTCAAATATAATTAATGTATTGCAAATACAATTATAAAATGTAGGCCATAATACATGATGTTTCAACCTGTTATTATTTTAGTTGCTTGATAATATGGAAAACAAGATGAAGAACACATGTGTTGATGGAACAATACCTAGGCTGTTTGAGGGAACTACTTTGGTAAGCTATGTGTATTTTTAATTTATTTTTGTGGTGAAATATTGTCATAGGCAAAACTTTTTGTGTTCGTCATTGTGTGTCTGTAACAATTGTTACACTTTGAAATTGCAACAATGTGGTGATATTTTCTCATGTTAATGCCTTGTTGAGATGATCAGAACGAGTAGGTTTCTAAAATAATCCAATTATTAAGACAATGATTTAACAGCATGTAATTTGACACAGACAATAGAATATGATACAAAACTTCTTTCTTAAAAATACTAATGCTTGAAAAAATCTTTGCCTAATATGTGGCTTGACATTTGTAAATAATAAAGGTTGCATACACCTCTATCAGTTTATTCCTAATTTTTCATATCAGGTTTGATATATTTGGGCTCAAAGCAGCTTAAAATAAATAGTACATTGAACATTCTTATGATTCCAGTCTTACATCAAGTGTAAACATGTAGACTACATGTCCTCGAAAACAGAAGCCTTTTATGATATCCAACTCAACATTAAAGGGAAAAAGAACAGTAAGTAAAAACACATCTTTCACTTCAGAGGATATTCAAAATCTTAAGTTTTGGAAAATTAATCTCCAATTTTGGTTTCACAATTTCATATAAGTTGAAGATAATTCACTCATTCTTTATTCAAAATCTTAAGTCTGGAAAAGTTCCAATTGTTGTTTTATAATTTCATACAATTTTAAGTTGAGCATAATTTACTCCTTCTTTATTTTGAAAAACATTTTCTGTGTTCCGTACTTGATTTCAGACATAACCTGGAATGTTATTTAAATTGCAGTTGTAGAATCATTCAAAGATTACATCACGAAAGAAACATTAGATGGTGACAACAAATATGACGCGGGACAATATGGCCTCCAAGAAGCCGAGAAAGGTGTCATATTTCTCTCCTTTCCGCCAGTACTTCACCTACAACTGATGCGCTTCCAGTACGATCCCATTACTGATGCAAACGTCAAGATCAATGATAGGTAAACGATGGTCTCCAAAAGTAAACATTTGTGAAAAATATTGTTGTTGATTTGCTATCCACATGCATTTTCCTTAAAATCTAGTGATAAAATCTTTATTCACTTCCTCCTACCATAATGAAATAACTTTGTAGAATATGGAATGAGGGGCAGGAGGGAATTAATCAAGACACCTGCTTTATTATTCATATATCATATATATAATATTGTTGTTTATGCTATCCAGTTATGACATTTTAAATTAATGAATGAATGATTTTCTCAATATTATGAATGTGAAATACTCAAAACATGAATTCTGAATGATATTTACTGAAACCAAATTTTGTATTTGTTCTTAGGTTTGAATTCCCAGATGTTTTGAATCTGGACCAATTTCTGCAAAAACCAGAGAAAACTCCTGCTAACTACATCCTCCATGCAGTGTTAGTTCATAGTGGAGATAACCATGGTGGACATTATGTAGTGTATATTAACCCTAAAGGAGATGGGAAGGTAAGGAGAATCTCAATTCATGTACAGTTAAACTTAAATGCTAACCAGGTCAGTGTTCATATTATTATGGTGTTCACATGATGTGGTGTCTGCATTATGTGGTGTTCACATTATTATGCTGTTCGCATGATGTGGTGTCTGCATTATGTGGTGTTCACATGATGTGGTGTCTGCATTATGTGATGTTTACTTTATATGGTGTAAAATGGAGGTCAATGGGATGTCAATTGTTCAACTAATGTAAAGTGTTTACAATTGTTCACTTAGTACTGAATGTTTTTACTGTAACATTAAGGAAGTTTTGCTGTAGAGGGGGGTGTCATTGTTTTTTGACACCCTGTACATGTTACCATTTGAAATTTATTTCATATTAATTTCTACCCGGTCAAAATTACAGCCACTGAATTTCATTATTTTAATACCTGCCGGTTATTCATATTAAACTCTCATTTAAAACTGTGACATGGAGCCATCAAAAATATTTATTCATCCTATTCAAAACCTATTGTAATAAATTTAATAATATGTGGACCCTGTTTATTCACTGTATGCATGTATTTATAAAACAAATCTATTGATTAAAAAAAATCCAGAGCCTAGTTACTAGACTCTAAAACTCATAAAATTGGTTCCTCAGATAACGTTAATGAGTCAACTGGTTCTTAATTGCAATACATTAACTGGTTCTTTTTCAAATTCAACAACAAACTTAGTGGTAGAGTATCACTGATATCTCACTTTTAAAGAGGAGGTATTAATTTATTAAACGAGCTAATAATGTGGTGATAACTCCTTTTCAAAGATATCTACTTCAATCTTGAGAAAAAAACAAAAAAGAATTATAATTTATTAGTATCTTTAAACAAGCTATCCAGAAGATTAACTGATTTAATTGATATTTTCAGTGGTGTAAATTTGATGATGACGTCGTTTCACGTTGCACAAAAGCTGAGGCAATAGATCGCAACTTTGGAGGCAACGATGATGAGATTACCGTAAAACATTGTACAAATGCTTATATGTTGGTTTACATCAGGGAAAATTCATTAGGTGAGTATGAAGCACATGTCATCTGCCAAGCTTTAGACCAATTGGGTGCTGTACCCTTTGAAAAGGTGAAGAATACAAGCCACTCTCTGAAAATCTGTGCATGCTGTCATAAAATGAAATATATAGAGGTGTTTTTCTCAAAACAGTCCAAATAAGGATTTAATATGTACCCTGTTGAGAGTAACCTGGGAGACTATGTGTATGTTCTTATGCTGCTAGATTTTATGTCATATGAAAATAAGTGGAAAAGACAATGAAAGAATTATTTGCTTTTTATTGTAACACTACATCACTGCAATTAACCAGTTGTCATAAGCTAGTTACCAGTTTCACTCCCAGCTGGCTTGCTTTGGTGAGATAACATGGTGTTCATAAAGTTACCCTAAATTGATTAGTAAATTGATTAGTAAATAAAAGTGGATGAATTCTTACCTCTTTGAGTTTAATAATTCTATAATCCTTTAGAAAGAATTATTCTGTTCACTGTAATACAAGATATTCAAAGTTAATGAACAAATATTAAAAGATATCATTTGTACACACTGATTTCAAATATGATATAATTTTGATTATAAATTTATAAGTGAAGATTTTATCTACTTGCATCAAGACATTGTTGCTTGTTGATCTATGTTATTCTTTACATAATATACATATCTTTCAATTTGTATATTTCAGATGATGTGGCAAGCCCAGTGACTGAAAATGATATACCAGAATCACTTGTAAATAGGTTACAGGAAGAAAAGTAAGTCAAATTGAAATACAGTAAAACCTGTATTATCCTAATACCACTGAGGCAAAATACAGTTAAACTTGTATCATCCTAATACCACTGAGGCAAAAAAACAGTAAAACCTGTATCATCCTAATACCACTGAGGCAAAATACAGTAAAACCTGTATCATTCTAATACCATTGCAGTGATCTCCCCAGGATTTTTTGATAGCAGGGGGGGATTTTTTAACAAGTTACGCCACTCTCTTCACTCTCGTGATTTTTGTGTCCATTTTTTTCCGCTTGCATCACTCGCATACTTTGTCAATATGTACTTCAGCAGCTCTCATATGGTTACAGGGTTGCAAAATGTAAATAAACACCAAATCTCATTTAGAAAACCTTTTATTTAATAATACTACATGATAATATGGCCCATTTATGATTATATTGAGGACCCTGGGCAGGTGAAGCAAGCAGGGGGGAACAGGGGGGATGAAGCAAGCAGGGGGGGAACAGGGGGGGAAAATTAGGTGAGCAGGGGGGAGCGCCATGCAATTAGATTCTGGGGAGAACCCTGCATTGAGGCAAAATACAGTAAAACCTGTATCATTCTAATACCACGGAGGCAAAATACAGTAAAACCTGTATCATCCTAATACCACTGAGGCAAAATACAGTAATTCTAATACCATTGAGGCAAAATACAGTAAAACCTGTATCATCCTAATACCACTGAGGCAAAATACAGTAAACCCTGTATCATCCTAATACCACTGAGGCAAAATACAGTAAAACCTGTATCATCCTAATACCACTGAGGCAAAATACAGTAAAACCTGTATCATTCTAATACCATTGGGGCAAAATACAGTAATACCTGTATCATTCTAATACCATTGAGGCAAAATACAGTAAAACCTGTATCATTCTAATACCACTGAGGCAAAATACAGTAAAACCTGTATCATTCTAATACCATTGAGGCAAAACACCTGAATCATTCTAATACCATTGAGGCAAAATACAGTAAAACCTGTATCATCCTAATACCACTGAGGCAAAATACAGTAAACCCTGTATCATCCTAATACCACTGAGGCAAAATACAGTAAAACCTGTATCATCCTTATACCACTGAGGCAAAATACAGTAAAACCTGTATCATCCTAATACCACTGAGGCAAAATGCAGTAAAACCTGTATCATCCTAATACCACTGAGGCAAAATACAGTAAAACCTGTGTCATCCTAATACCACTGAGGCTTGTGTTCACATTTTGAGGTTTTTCAATATGGAATTCTATGGCAAATTAAAAATTGAACCGAAAAAGTGCTCAAATTTAGAGGTGTACTGATAACAGGTTTTACTGTGATTGAATTCAAATAAAGAAACAATCTAGTGTATAATGTAGTAATGGGTCTGGGATGTGAGATGTCTATTGGGCTGGGTCAGTTACAGATCAGACTACTTTTCTCAAGGGTTAATCATCGAGGAAGATGACAGTTCAATGAACCAAAATTGGTTCAACTATAATGTAACCAATCCATTGAGAGTTGATGTAATTTTGACAGTTTCACTGCTTAAAAAAGATTAACTTATGGTAATTTTCAAATACATTTCAATCTTGTTTACAGCCATTGCTGGCGGCAAGCTGAGACATCATGAATCTATCATGAATAGTTTCTATGGTTTGCCAAAAAACTTATTGGAAAGGTCTTAATTCCATTATTCCAAAATCATAAGCAGTCAAGATAACTAGGTTAACATTTGAAAATATATTGAAATGGTTAGATTTTTAATCATGACTTGTCATTTAACTCCCTGTACATTTTATTTCAGGAGGCTGGAGATGCAGAAACGTAAAGAAAAAGTAGAAGCTCATTTGTATATGAACATACATGTGCTGACTCATGACCATTTCCATGGTCACCAAGGCAATGATCTCTTCGATGTCGACAAATCCAATAATTATAGGTATAGTCAGATTAATAGATTATAGTCATTTGTATATGAGTGTACATGGGCTAACTCATGACTATTTTTATAATCACCGAGGCAATGATCTCCTCAATAATTAAAGACAGACAGTTTGTGGTGATATGTTCCGAGAGGCTTGTTCTATGGATGGGAATGAAATCAAATATCCGTGACACCTCTGTATAACACAGTGCATAGGGACCTGATGCTAGGCTAGAATTCATTTAAATAGCAGACTTGTGTCATGAGTTTTCCAATTCAAACAAATTATTGTTTTTTTTTCAGGTTATTTAAAATTAAGAAGTCAGCAACTCTAAATGACTTTTTAGAAATGCTCTCAGAAAATCTGGTAAGTGTTGAATACACAATGGTTTCAGATCTAATTGAGCCAAGTATGTGAGGGAGAGTGGTCGATACGTTCCTTAAATTGCATTCTTCAGTGAATATCATCTGACAATTTTGGTTTAATCTACATAAATTTTTATACTGTACCAATAAAATATTACATTTTTGCTTAAAAGACACTACTTTTTCCTTGTTATTTCATAAAACGTAATATGAGTGACAAGATTAAATGTATTGTTTCAATGGAAATTTTTACTCAGTGGAGTGCCAATTCCATATTTAACATGTATTTTCCAGAAATATCCTGTAGAACATTTACGTATTTGGCCACTGACCTACAGGAGTAACCAAACATTTAGACCCACAATGTTAGAAGTAGAAGCTAATAAAAGTGTAAGTAAACACAAAGGGCAACAACACAACGCATTGCTCCTTTCCCTTTGTTTCTTCTTTTAACTTGAATTCAGATTCAGACGTATTGCTGAGTCTATTTGTATTGCTGCCTTATGGCGTATTGTTAGTAAACCCGGATGTGCGTCCATCAGGCCAAGTTTGGGTCCAGATTATTTGGGACCTGAGTGGAATTAGTTTGAGAAATGATAGTCATTGAGTCTGGTCATTGAATATCTATGTGGCCTAAATCTACCTGATTGCCTAAATTGACCTGACCCAGCTAAAATCTACCCAAGCCCTTTGTCCATATAAAGTACTCATGATTTATGTATATGTGTTCTAGATTCATGATTTAGCTGATACAGATGGTCCATGGTATGTGTTTGTAGAGACTCTCAGTGTAGAAAGTACAGCACGATCACTTCCACCTTTTGACAAAGAATGTAAGTGATGGTGCTCAAGTAATCTATTAACATTTATTGAACAGCCCTCAGATATCTACTTAGTATTGTGCAGACAAAAAGTTTAGAGATTTTTAATTTGCTTTGATCTGGCCTCATATATGCCCAAAAGCAAATGAACAATTGAAAAACATTTTTTGAATGTTTTCAAAATATTGAATGAAATATTAAAAATCATTAATCTAGATTGTATGGACTTATACTGTTTGGATATAGACCTCTGGATAAAATCCATATCCACACCTACTATAAGATAATCATATATTTCAGCGGATGTTCTGCTGTTTCTGAAGAGGTATGATCCAAAGACGAAGAGCATTTCTTACTGTGGACATATCTACACACCAATTACAGCAACTGTTGGTAAGCAAAGTTTCAAATCATTTCGACAAGTTACAAATTGAAAAGAGTACAGTTGAACCTGCTGAGTGGAACACCTCCCAAGTGGAACAGTGTTTTTAAAGTCACATGGCCTATATGATATACTCCATGTTAATGAACCTCTGTAAGTGGAACGCCTCCTAAGTGGAACACTTTGTGGTCGCAAGAGTGTACCTTTTTCAACTTTTAAAAGCTTTCTTCATGAACAATGTTTTCAGACTTCAATAATTGCAAAATGAAGGTTAAATTCCAAGTCTATTGATTGTTGTGTAAGTTAGCAGGGGTTTAACTAGAATTCCTAACAACAGGCTATATAATTGAAAACAACAGGCAAAAAGGCAAAATTAATGGAAATCATAAATTTAACATGGAAAAGTTGAAAAGTCCCTAAAAACAACAGGCGATTTTGTGAAAACAACCGGTGAAAATCACCTGTTGCCTGCTACTCATGAAACCCCTAGTTAGGATCAGCATATGTAACAAATTGTTACACTTTGTAACGATTTGCAGTAGTGAATCAGCAGCTGGTTAATACCAGACATTTTGTCTTATTTACCCCTTGTTACATTAGTATTTACTCTTTGTATATTACACATTGGATATTCATGTCTTATTATTATATTTTTGTAGGGCAGCTGATGCCAGTGCTGTGTGAGAGAGGAGGTTTCCCACAAGGCACAGATCTCATCGTCTTTGAGGTAAAACTTCACCACACATAATGATGGAATCTCAAACATTGTGTGATGAACCATGAAATTATTTACAAATATAGGATTTTGTATTATGATTCGTAAACGTGTGCTAGCTTGTAAATAATGCATGTAATATCCTAAATGCTTCATGTAAAGTAGAATAAATAACAATTAAAAGTAATCATGGAGCCCCAGAAATTATTTTTATTGAATATTAATCGTTAAAAAACTGTTAATAAATGATTAAGAATTGAAATTGCAGGAAGTGAAACCAAACCTTACAGAGCGTATAGAAGACTACGACATCCCACTAGAAAAGATCATGGATGAACTGATGGATGGTGACATTCTGGTCTTCCAGAAAGACGACCCAGAGCTTCATCATTATGAACTACCCACAGCCAAGGACTATTTCAAGTATGTTTTATGTATACTCCTGTTTATTTCTTTTGAAAGTAGTTTATCAAAAATTAGCCCCCCTTCTCATTGTAAGGTCAAGGACATTAAAGTTTTGATGTTTTTTCAATTTGATGAAAGTGGTCAAAATAATTATGCAACTTAGAATATCATAGGCAGAATCTTTGTCTTTACAACAGGTTTTTATGTAGCCAGTAGTTGCAATTTCCCTGAATTAATTGTTAATTTATTGTTGATTTTTAAGACTTGCTGGAAAATTAAAAATGTATAAATCAGAAAACATGTTTTCAAAGACCAGATTGTTCAAAATGATAAACATATGTTGTTTGTATGTCTCCAGGGACCTGTATTATAGAATAGAAGTGACATTCTGTGATAAAACCTTACCAAATGACAATGGGTTTACCCTAGAACTTTCCCAACGCATGAATTATGATCAGGTGGCCAATGCAGTTGCACAGCATCTGGGAACAGACCCATATTTATTGCAGTTCTTCAAGGCACAGGGGTAGGCAATTCTTATTTAATTTTAGCACATTATAATCTACATCTGTGTTCAAATACCTTTAAAAAATTTACAGTTCTTATTATTAATATAGTAGTACTTTATGTGGTACTTTATGTTGTACTTTATGTGGTACTTTGTGTAGTACTTTATCTAGTTCTTTATGTAGTACTTTATGTATGAATTTATTGATTCGGTAGGTGCATCAATTCTTAGTTAATTATGTCAACACCACAAGTACATATTGTTATATTCTCCAAATTTTTTGTGGATGATATTCGAGTGTTGGGTGGCATCAGTAACAAATGTTATGTGGTGACATTTTGCATGTAAATGCCTTGTTTAAGCATAATCTACATTCGCTTTTACATATTGTTTTTTCCAGTTATCGAGAGGGCCCTGGCAATCCTATTCGGTGTACATACGAGGGGTCCCTCAAAGATCTCTTCACATACTTTAAACAGAAAAGTCCTAGAAAAATATACTATCAACCAGTAAGTTTTCAAGTTTATCATTAATTTTCAAACAACAGTGTAAGCATTTAGATATTATTTGAAACTAGCTAATTAAATCATTTGGTGGCAAAAATAAACTAAAATGAACTGACATGGATATTGCACTTATGTCATTGTGTTAAAGATATATACTGTTATACTGTTAACTGTTATATGTTCCTTGATTGTTATTCAAAATAAGTATATGGGTGTTTTTGTATTTATTTTCAGCTTAGCATTCGTATCAGTGAGTTAGAAAATAAAAGGCAGTTTAAGTGTACCTGGGTGAATATGAAGCTGAAAGAGGAGGTGAGAATATGTTGAAGAAAACCACTCTTTCTAATATGTTCATGTTGTAAATACTCGACTAGTATAGATGTCTCGGGGATAGAGAGCATGCATTAAACTTTAGATTATAACTCTAAATTCTCTTCATGTCACCGCCACAAGTGGTGACTGACACATATTGTTATAGTCTCTATTTTTGTGGACAGTATTAAGAAGTCAGGATCTAATACAAATGGCAGGTGATGACAGTTTCCATTTTAATAGCGCCTTGTAAATATTATCGTGTGTTTTATATTGCAGAAAGAGCTAGTGTTGTACCCTGACAAGAATGGTAGCGTAGCTGATCTGCTGACTGAAGCCAGAAAACAAGTGGAACTTCATCCAACGGAAGGTTCTGGGAAACTGAGGTCAGTAAATACAAATAGAGAGATAGTTAAGATACACACATTTGGGAGACGTAAATGAGTGATATGATCTGAAGAAATAAATGTCTGCCTCTTAATTATAATTTAGGATCCTTATTCAACTGCTTTCCTAATACATTTACCATCATGCTCAATTGGGCAAGTAAAGTCCACTAAAGTTAAACCTAGTTCCATACTTTTTTATTATTTATTTTTGTCATGCTATTAGTATAACCCTGACATTTCATTCAATGACAAAAATAGCAGGGAGAGTGTATTAAAGTTTTCATATCACCATCACAAATGGGGACATATTGTTATAATCTCCAACTTTTTTGTGGACTGTGTTCGTTGGTTGGCAGTTGGTGTTTGGTGTCTGTATAAAATGGCAGGTGGTGACATTTCACATGTTAATGCCTTGTTTAACAATGTAGTTGGGAGAATACAAAATTGCACTGAGAAAAAATATACATGTTCAGATTAGAGGGCAGAACTGATATACACATTTTACTGTATCCAATGAATTAACGAATGAATATCAAACAATTAAGATTATAATTATATATTTATAGGTTAATGGAAATCATCAGTTACAAGATCTTCAACATTCAGCGGGAAGATATCCAGTTGGAATGTCTCAGCACAGCTGGGACAAAATCATTCAGAGTGGAGGAAATCCCACTTGAAGAACAGAATATTGATACAGAAGAAGAGTTACTCATCCCATGTGCACACTTTCAAAAGGTTTGAATCACAATTGAAAAAAATCCACATTTATATTTTGTAAGAGTTGATAGTGTATTTGTAATGTTTAATTGCTTGCTGGATGTACAGACTTGTTATTTTGAAATATTGTCAGTCTGTAGTTGTTCAAAATTGAATAGACAGAGAAGGTTATTCTCCTGGAATGGGAAGTTGTAAAGGACAGAAAGAAGACAACAGAGTCCTCCATTTATAATTCACAGATTTATTTATTTATTTATCTTCTAGGAAATATTCTCAACATTTGGTGTTCCTTTCATGCTGAGGATACGACATGGGGAAGCATTCTCTCAAGTAAAAGAACGAATACAGAAACGATTAGAAATCAGCGAAAAAGAGTTTGAAAAGGTAACAAATCCTTGTTATTAGCAAGTCAGATAACCTTTCTATTTTTGAAAGTGATCTATTGTTTCACTCATTTAGCTTTTTTTCTTTAATTTTTTTCTTGATTGTAAGGATGTAATATTTTTCTGCTTTATAAATAGATGATTTCAGCAAGAAAGAAACGATTGACAGCCTACATGTAAATCTTGAACATGCCGCTCTTTTCTTTCAACATTCATTTTGTTTATTCCAGTGGAAGTTCGCCATAGTGGTAATGGGAAGGCAAACATATATGCCTGAAGACACAGAATCATATGTTAACATACAAGACTTTCAACTACACACCATGCAGAGTAAGTGATCGACCAATGCTTTCATTTAGATACATTGCAAAATTCAGATAGATTGGCGATAAATGGAATAAAATAGGTTTAATAAAATATTAAAATATATTTTTAATAAAATACTAAAATATTATATTTAATAAAATAGGCTTCGCTCACTCATGTTGATATTTGATATCAACTCGGCGATAAAAATGATATCACTCAAAATGATGTGATATTCTGTATTTATTCAATTTATTTTTAGGAAAAGATTTTGAAAGTTTGCCCTCTGTTATTAAATGAATGATGCATTGACCATGTTGATTGTTTAAAATCTAAGAATCATTTTCTATTTCATCATTAAAGATAAAAGTTCCTCAAATTTTACCTTTTCTTTCAGGTAGTGGAATGCAAGCAAGGCCATGGCTAGGACTTGATCATATAAACAAAACTCCAAAACGCTCTAGATATACCTATCTTGAAAAAGCCATTAAAATCCATAACTGAGATCTGGTAGGAGGCATGGTCTAAACAATGGCCATGTATATTGGCTTAATATGAGGCCAGGCATGGTCTAAACAATGGCCATATATCATGGCATCAAAAATGGCCAGAGCCAAGTGCAATCAAGAGCTCAGATGTAAATGATCATATGTCATATAAATCTGATCTTACCTAATCAGTATGTCTGATTTTAGAAGATCAGAACTGCATGATTGTTCTACAGTCTGATGGTCATGTGACCCTAGAGGTCAAGAGAGGAGCAGCAATCCCAGAGTGCATCTGCAACCCAGGCTGCACTATTTCATCATCATTATTATTATATTATCTTGGAGAGCAGAGTAGTTTAAAATGATAATTATCTCCATAGAATTCAAAGTTTTTTTAATGCCTGTTGCCAGGTAACATAGATGTCATGACGATTATCATGTTTTCTCATGTATAATGGAACAGAGAGGAGTAAAAATCAAAAGGGCATGAAAGACTTAGAATTTAGAATTGTTTAAAGAAATTCTAGAAAGTGTAAGTGGAGAATAAAACATGTGAAGAATTGATATTTGATAGACATTATTATTAAATCTTAAAGTAAAAATATATCAATATTTTCATTTTTCTTCACTAAGGGGTAAGTTAGAACCCTATATAATGGTACTGGAGTTATGCATTTGCAATACTCATGTAACCAATGACAAATGAATACAAGTAAACTAAAAACAAATCTGTGCTAATTTGCCATAACTATTCTCAGTTTTCAGAAAAACTTTAGAATAGCACAGTAAAAGCTGTGTTCATGGTACAACTTTGAAACCTCAAAAAGTGTTCCACTATGTAGGTGTTCCACTTACAGAGGTCATCTTATATTAAATAAATGGGTGGATACTTTAAAGTTTCACATATAGGCTGTTACACTTCACAGGTTTCACTTCACTGGACTCATTCCACCATTTCAGATTAATTCTTTGTAAATCTGTAAATCACTGTAAAACACTCTACTATACCTTGCATTTGGTGTTCATGAGCAACCCATTTGGCTTATTAGTGAAGATTATGTTATTTGTTTTAATTTGTCTCTTCCTTATTAATGGTTTATCGGAAGACTGTTAGATGTTATTAAGGTACTTTCAAAATATACTAAACAGAGTATCTTATGCATTTCTAGGGGTTAGGTATAGTAGAGTGTAAAAGTAGCTGCAATACAACTGCCAGGGAATTTTTGGAGATAGTTATGATTTTGATCATCTCTATTGAACTACTTGCAGGATCAAATCATATTTCATGAGATTAATCCTCCAATATGTGCAATCAAGTACAGTATAGAAAATAGGTCAGTCGGCTTACTTCAAGAATTTTGCTTTTGGTGTAAATGTGGGACTTCTTCCTAAGTTGCGGAATTATATATATTATTCGATATTCTCAGAAAAGTTCTGTGGACATCTTAAAAAGGACCATTCAGATTTGAAATCTAATACTAAAGAACCATATTACGTTGCTGCAGATAAAGTAGATCTAGAAAGGACTTTACCACCAGATTAGAGAGTTAAGTTCTGTACAGTTAGCCAGTTTCTGAGAAATCTCATGATATCACATTGACAGAGTAAGTAAGAGGGGTGAACTTGAATTTAATGAAGTGATCAATTTATTTTAAACTAATTTACAATAATTTGTAACCACACTTATTTACAGTTCAACAGTCACACCACTTTTACATTCTAATTCTATTCAATTGAATTATATCAATCATAACTTGATATTTCTTGAATCACATGTGACAAAGTGGTTTCCCTGAATCAGTTTATGTGGTATACCATACCACATGGTGCATGTTACATACATTTTTCATGGTACATTAAATAGTGTACATGTATATCAAAAAATGAATATATTTTTCAGGGGTCTATTCTAAATTTTAATTATGTGAACTGTACAGTGAAAAGCCCATTCATACACTGCTGTACATGTATGTTCGACCCCTGAAAATATCCCAATGAGAGATATTTAAAAGTTTCTAGCTGGGAAAATTATGAATTTTCTCTGCATATATTTTTCAGGGGTACCTATTATTATGTTAATTATAATTATTAGGATTGTACATGATATTTCTGTAATTATGTTAATTAATAAGCTTTTTGCAAAATGTTGTGTCCAGAAACTGTCCAAATAATATAAAATAAATATAGAAAATATAAAAATTATTCTATATACTTTTGTACGATGTATCGCTATGTACTAAAACTACGGTCGTTCACTCTGTCATACACGTTGTCCCTTTCTAAAGTATCACTCTAAATCATGTTTATTTCATGCTGTTTCTCTCAAAAATGTGTAAAGATATCTCACTCTGTCATTTAGGGAATATTTCATGTTTATCCATTTTATTTCTCTCTTACAACTTGTGTGTTCTCTTCTTTTCTTGTTTTGAGTGCAACCAATGGGATACTTTATTTTACAAGCATCAGACTCGTCTTTCATGGTTCACTTCTGTGTACTTGTCACATCTAATGAATAAACCATTTAATTCTGCATCTACATCTAATCTACATTTAAATCTATTCAAATCTAATATGATATCTATTTAGATTTGTGATCATTATCAAAGCAGAACAAATATATCCATTAAAATAGTGTTCTTAAGATCACTGATTGATGTCAAAATTTGTTTATTAAATTTAATGAAGCATTTTAGATTAATAAACAAAACATTGTAGAGAACATCAAAACGTCAATGTACATACTAAATATTCAATTGATTTCTTTTGACTTATAACTCCTCCACCCAAAAATTAACATTGATTCTTTTAGGCTGAAAGTCGCACATTCCATGCTACCAACCAAGGAAATCTTAATACAGTAAAACTGTCAAATCCCAACACCATTAAGACTGGTCAAATGTATTCAGATTGGCAGCTCATATTTTGAGGTTTTTAATAAAGAGGGCTATGGCAAATTAAAAAAGGGATTGAAAAAATCTGTTCGCATCTAGAAGTGTTCAGATAAGGGACTCAAAAAAGGGAGGTGTTCGGAAGAACATGTTTTACTGTATAATCAAAAATCCTGTTAGACCAAACCAAAGACATTACTATCAAATACATACCAGCTAGAGCTAACCATTCGTGATCGAGAAGATGTGAGATTCACGAAGGTTTTTGACAAAAAATCACTTAGTGTTTAAAAAACGGAAGAAGTTTTTAAAAACAGCAGGAGAATAAATGAACAGAAGTAAAATAGGATTTATTTTCAAGACATTTGGAGAAAAACTTGGGAGATCACCTCGCAGGGAAGGCTTAAATCAGGGAATGTACCATTCTGATACTTATCACATCTTTCTGCATTCACTATCTAGAAATATGCCTTATAGAAAGAAGCTAATACAAGGCCATGATTTCTCATTATTGGAATGTACATGTATGTGTATTAGTTAATTTGCAGATATTCAACATACTCGTTAAACACATATAGTGTATGAATTAATAAAATCAAAATCATCTTTCTTCCACAACAGATCATTTCATTGTTCATTATCTATACACTTGTTTGGCACAAACTTATGTCTTTCAAATTGGTTCCTTTTGAAATAGAGAGGGTTTATTCAAGGACAGTAATACATACAATAACAGTACAATAAGTACAATTAGAAATATTTATCTCAGATTGATTTTGGCCATGTCATTTAAAAATACAAATTGGAACCGACCTGGTGTTATAAAACATATATGACTCCAAACCTTTGAATATTCAAATATTCATGTTAAAAGGATTAAATATGATAAATGCCAGTTGTCTCTTGCATGGCTTACATATGGTTTTTGTAATGGATTTGTCAATAGACCTATTACATTGTTTAAATTTTATACAAAATATATAAGGCATAGAATAGTCATTCTTCTAGACTGGTCAGTAATGTTAATATAGCATTATAATCATTATGTGCCTTGTTGAAAATCTGCATTCTTTATTGGATTAAACTTGTAATTTGAGCCAAATTCACGAGTTTATTTACTAAGGATTGTTCTGTAATGTACTACACAGGCAATTTTTTCCATCACAATTTCTATAAAAAATCCATACAGATTCTTTACTGTCAAAACTGTAATGAAACTGTTCGGATTTGATCACGGCAATGTTTCGATAAAGAAACGAGTTTACAGAATCTGTAATGATACTGCATTTATTCTGTAAATATAAGTTTCAAACTTTACTGATTCAATAGAGTTTTTGTAAAGATTCTCTACTTTTTCTTTACATATTCCTGATAGACTGCTGCTTTCCTTGTGGATTCTTTACACGTTCTTTTTGCATTCGTTGATAAATCTTTGAAGTTATTTTAATCATTCTGTAAAACTTCAGTAAAGGCCCTCAATAACAAAATTTTTTATTTATGGTTAATCGATTTATATTTATTAATAGTCTTTGTCAATACAATTTACATGTGATCTAAAGTGTATACAGCAAATATGTGTCTTAGTGAACACCTCTGTGTCTTAGAATTTGTATATCATGGATATACAGTGAACATCCCTTTGTAATGTTTATGGAATCATTTTTCTTGATCCTCATATGGTATATAAATATAACATATAAATATAGCACCACAAATATCTGTGTATACAGCAAATATGTGTCTTGTTAAACACTTCTAAGTGAAAACCTATCTCTATAATATCATGGCTATACAATGAACAACCCTTTGTCTCTTTAATACTTATGGAATTATTGTCTCTTGATCCTCAGGCATGATTATATATAAATATACCATATAAATATAACACCGCAGATTTCTGTGTATACAGCAAATATGTGTCTTGGTGAACATCTCTAAATGAAAACCTGTCTCTTTACCAAGTGGACAATACAGTGAACACATCTTAATTTTGTTCATTAAATTATGTATTCTGAGTTATGTTCATGGAACTATTTATTCTTAATCCTCACATAATATACACTCTTAAAATTATTACTTGGATTTCTGTACTTGTATATTGAGAAATTGTACTACTCATTTCAAGTAAAATAAAAATTATTCAGTAGTTCAAGATTCTTTAAT